ATCTATAATCGGAATGTATTCAGTCAGATTAGCAAAAATCTTTGCATGTAAACACAGCCAGTGAGAAAAGCAGACAAAGAGCTGCTGGTTTTTTTAGTACAATGGACTGACCACCTCAGAGTCCAGACCTCAACAACAGTAAACGTGTTTTGAGATTACTTAAATTGTGAAAAGCAGAAAATGCAACCAACAAAGACTGAACTGTGGAGGTGTGGAAAAATATACTTGCTCAAAAAAATTCTCAAGCTGTATTAAAGGCAAAGAGTTAACACAGCACTAAAAATATGATATTATATTTAGTTGTTAAGGCTTTTGTGCTTTTTCTGTTAAATATACACCGATCAGGCATAACATTACGACCATCTCCTTGTTTCTATGCTCATTGTCCATTTTATCAGCTCCACTTACTATATAGGTGCACTTTATATCTGTTTCTCTGCATACTTTGTTGGCCCCTTTTACCGTTCTTCAGTGGTCAGGACCCCCATGGACCCTCACAGAGCAGGTATTATTTGGGTGGTGGATCATTCTCAGCACTGCAGTGACACTGACGTGGTGGTGGTGTGTTAGTGTGTGTTGTGCTGGTACGAGTGGATCAGACACAGCAATGCTGCTGGAGTTTTTAAACACTGTGTCCACTCACTGTCCACTCTATTAGACACTCCTACCTTGTTGGTCCACCTTGTAGATGTAAAGTCAGAAATGATAGCTCATCTGCTGCTGCACAGTTTGTGTTGGTCATCCTCTAGTCCTTCATCAGTGGTCACAGGGCGCTGTCCACAGGACGCTGTTGGCTGGATATTTTTGGTTGGTGAACTATTCTCAGTCCAGCAGTGACACTGAGGTGTTTAAAAACTCCAGCAGCACTGCTGTCTGATCCACTGTACACACACACACACTGACACACCACCACCACGTCAGTGTCACTGCAGTGCTGAGAATGATCCACCACCCAAATAATACCTGCTCTGTGAGGGTCCATGGGGGTCCTGACCACTGAAGAACAGGGTAAAAGGGGGCTAACAAAGTATGCAGAGAAACAGATATAAAGTGCACCTATATAGTAAGTGGAGCTGATAAAAATGGACAATGAGCGCAGAAACAAGGAGGTGGTCATAATGTTATGCCTGATCAGTGTATGTTTTCCTGCAGAAAATGAATAACTTTAACACTCATTTTTACTGTAAATGAATAGATGAAGAGTGGTTTCATTTTTGCACAGTACTCTACGTGTTACAATTTGTTGAACTACTATTCCTTTTGTAGAGTAATAACTTTATTAACTTATTTTTTAGCATAAACTGAAAATCTATTAGTACGAAAGCTGCTTTGCTTTGAAAGACAAACTAAATCATAGCAGAAATGAACAAAAATTATGTCTCTTCTCCATATGGTTGTGCTTTTCTCAGTATTGCTCGTTTGTAGACAATAAATGAATACAACGTGAGCTGCGAGATTATGCATCATTTGACTCTGAAAGCAACCGCTTTTCCAGTGTCTCCGAGGACGGCGAAAACTGCTGACATGGACGCCTCTTCTGCGAGATTTTGCATATGACTTAATTGCATGGCTGTCCCCAGTTGTCCCCTTTAGGCACAAGTTTGTCAATGGTTGATTTATGTTGTTGGTAGTGGCTTGTTATTCCTTTAATGGGTTTTTCATAAACTTAGATTCCCCCAAGGCTGCAGCTGGACCAGGGAATGCGTTCCATTTTCAGTCCCAGACAAGGGGCAAGTCCCAAGGATTGTTTTCAGGACAATCTGACACTTCCGCCGAAATTATATTTTAATGGGATCATTAGAAGAGCTGTTTGAGATCCACAATCCACAGTAGGTCAATTAAATCGGATCGTGAATTTGAGCTTTTTCCCTTTGAATATATGTTCATATGCAAGTTTTAATTCCTCTGTTGGAGGTTCTGATATGTGGTTTGGTGGGTACCACGCTACAGTTTGAATAATGCTGTGTTTCAGTGTTTTATACTGATTACGCAGGCTTGAGGCAAGCAGTGCACACGAGCCCTCATGAGGCTGTTTACCCACAGATATACTCTGACTTATAATTAGATGTTTGTAAAGAAGTTTAAAAGCATTTGTCTCTGGTAAACAGGTGTTCATGATGAGGGATGTTGTTGGGAATTAGCAGTCGTAGCACATTAAATACAGATTAACTAAAGTTACAATGCGTATTTTGAGAATAATAGTGAATTATATTCTTTAAAGAACTAAGGCATTTTGCGAACATGCTTTTAATGTTTTAAAACACAGGTTTTTTGCAGAGTATTTTGAAGAATTTGTTTTACTGTGTCTGAAGGTAAAAGAGTGAACTTAAAAGGCTTCCCCTTGATTTGCCTGTGGTGCCTGAATAATGTTTCTGGTCCTTCTTTTGAACACAGCAATAGTGCACTTTATCCTGCAGTGATTTCATTTCAAGGACTCCTGGTCCTTCAGCGTTGCCTCTACGTGTATGTGTGTGCGTATTTGTGCATTCCTCTGAAGTTCTCCCGTGCAGCTGATTAACACACGCACGCGTTGAGGCGAGGGAGCTCGCGAGACACCACAGGTAGACACCACAGGTAGCGCAACGTCCCCGCTGTGCGAGCGTGTATATTTTTACACACCTCCCTTGCATCCACTGTGATGCTGGCAGGCCATCACTGAGACGTCTGTAAATAGTTTACTTCGCAAGACAGCGATGTGCACCTGGGCGACAAAACAGCCTCAGTCAAGCCCCCACCGTGAAAAACTGGGAATGGGAATTTTTTTTCCTTTTGCCCCCCCCCTCCCTGGGTTCGCATCGCATTGTCATTGATCGCTCAGGCTTTTAGAGCCTTGCTTTGCGACTTTTCATTAAGCCTACGCCTACAAGACCCTGGGCGCCAGCTAAAACCGCAGCAACCAGAAGAAACGGTAATGAAAAGATTTGTTTTTTTTCTGATCTTCCAGTCTCAGATAGCTCAGCTTGAAAGGCGGCATAACACTGCACAGGGAGAGTGAAAATATCTATTGTTTAGAGAATGAGATTACTGATATCATCTGCTTTTGCTATTTCCAACTGACGCTGTTCATCGCCCTTTTGTTGCGATGAAGATGTGGGATCAGAGTCTGCTATGTAACAGAGGCGCAGGATCTGGCTTAGAAATTTCAGATGCTCATCTGATAGAGGAACAGCACGCGCCAATAAGCTGTACTGAAGTCTAAAACAAACCTAAGAGGGTCAAGCGAGAGCCTCGCAGTATGTATTCATCTTATCAGGTGTTTGGCAGGTTTGAAAAAAGCAGGAATAAAAGAAACAGTTTTCTGGATGCAGCTTCTAGCGAGAGACTTAAAAGAGCTTTCAAAAAAATACTCCCCGCGGACGCCGTCATATTGTCCAAACCAAGGCTTAAATGTGCAAATATTAATACAAGTGGCCATTTCAAGCAGCTCAGGCGTACAAATATTCCTCCTTCACACCAGAGGCAGATACATTTACTTTGAGCTTTGATAGTCCAGCTAATAAACTGATCTGAAAGTCATATTCAGTTTCCCAGTGGATTAAAACGCGGTAAAGAGAGACTGGCACAAACTCTCTGATATTAAAGATGTTTAGACCTTGCACAAAGTTATCTAGGTTATATTATCATTGAAGTCTGTTTCCAAATATTGACTTGAATTAAGCTACCAGATCATTAGCGCGCATGCATAATTGTGATGTGATCTACTCATTAGCATACGGCGAGTTATGTTTTCACGTTTGCCTTTAATCTTTAAGCCTTAATTACCATAAAGGCACTGGTTTGTTATTTTTACAAAAAACTTTATCATTATTTTTGGGGTAAGCGATGGGGGACGTGCTACACAGAATATTGAGTGTTCTCACTGTGGCACTGGTGCTGTTAATAACGCAAGTTGTGTTTGCAGAACTGGATTCTTTGGGGATCTAAGAACTGTCAGTTTAGAGGTCCACTTAATCACTCAGTAAGTCTCTCGCTTTATCTGCAGACGTCTCTGACCGCTGAGGTCTGCGGAATTGCCTCTCTTAAGATTTTAGGTATTCGTACGCTCGCTTTGTTTTTGCTTAAATAAGCAACCATCCACTAGGTTTACATGATCAATCAGCCACATTCATTTCCTGACTGTTCCATCATAGTGATTAAGCAAATAGATAAGCAGCTTCCTAATAGCCACATCACCTACTGCAGACAAGGTTCCCTTAGCTGTATATCTCTGGAGCTACACCAGAGCAGCTGAAGCATAGAGAGTGCATAATCTTTAAACTGACTGGAGCACCAGGGGGGAAGCGCCTCAGATAATGGACTCGGATAGGGTGCCTGGCTTTGATGCTGCGCTGTGTCTCTGGCTCCCGCACTCATCCATCATGCAGGGATAGAATGATGGAGAGAGAATAATACTGAAGGAGGTCAGTCTAGCCCGCATTCTAAGCACTACAGCTCAGCTCCACAGCCTGTGCAGAAGAGAGGAAGGGAAAAAGGGACCATATGTGGCTTTTTGAAGCAGCCGATCATGTGTTGAAGTGTGATATCACACTGCAGAATGTGCCAAACGTGCTTGATTCACACCGAGAAACCAGTTTAATTTGGCCTAAATTTAGGTATTTGCTTTAAGAAAAAACATGAAAAAATAATGTGCAATATATGGCCATGTGTAGCCACATAAAAATCTAATAAAAATTAAGAAACAGTAGCAGTTTACCAAATGGAATGTAATTCTGAGTGAGAAAACCCATACCTGGGAACATTACACTGTTGTAAGTGGGCACTTGAAAAGGATGAATGTAAGTCTCTGACTAAAAATTTACATTTTCAATTTCTGAGACCTTCGAAAACCCACGAGATCGCACTAGAAACCTCAGAAATATAATAACTAAAGAAACTTTTGAGCATTAATTTTGATTGCACTTGCAGAGAACTGTAAACGCTCAGTTTGAAGCCTGCAAAACTCAATATGCACTCTTCAAAACATAAGAAAAATGTTTTATTTTAATAGGCTTTTGCCCATTTTATTTAATTCAAACTTGGCAAGGTTCATGAAACTGCTAAAACTTTTCCTTTTTCATCTGAACTACCATTTGATTCAACATCAAATATATATTGCGTTCTATGAACAGTAAAGCAGTTTATATCAAACACCAACAACAATGAGCCTCGCCATAAAAACGTACTTTAGACTGTGGGTGAAATTGAATTTTCCCCTCAGTAAAATGAAACATCAATGGCAAAAATAAATTGGATCCGACCGTCGCTTATTAACTACAAAGTTTTGTTGCCTCGTACTCCATATAGTACGGCTGTCTGGCACTAAAAGCCTGCAGTGCTGCGAGAATTCTCAGTACCTCAGAGCTGGAGAGTTTGAGTCGGTGTCGGAGTAAGCAAGAGAACAGGTCCAGTGGCAGTGGTCCAGGAGGAGACAATCTGTTGACTCTGTATCGGATCTCCATAAGCTGCAGCAGGGCAGAGTCCTGAGATCCCTGAGTGTATGGATAGTCCAGCTGCAGGATCAAGTCCTGAATGGCTTCTGGGTCAAAGTGCATGCTGTAACCAAAGAGCTGTATGCTGTTGATTTTCATGTAGCCGAAATTCTGCGAAGAATCCGTGACCTCCATGGGCTCGAAATAGGCTGTTTCGTTCCCCTGAGCGAAGTCGGTCCGAATGCGACTCCTCAGGTAGAAGTGAACCGTCTCGAAGAAGCTCTTCCAGCGATTTCCTAACGTCAAAGTCCAGTTATAGCAGTCCAAAGGAATGTCTAGCTTGGTCTTCTCCCAGTCAGGGTAGCTGTTTTGGTTGATAGGCATGGTCCAGCTCTCTGAGTGGCTCCCGCCGAAAGGATTGACGTAGACAGACAGTGCCGGCTCCAGAGTGGAGTTCTTGGTCATGCAGATTTGTAGAGAGACCCCCAGCAGCATGTGTACGCGACTGGACTTGAACTTGTTGCTCTTTAGAGTCAGGAGCATCCTTTTTCTCCAGGAGGGGTCGAACCAGGTGTTGAGGCGCACGTCACTGCTGACAAAGGTGGCACGTGTGACCACGCGCCCATCTCGACGCTGCAGCAAGTAGCGCAGCTCCAGGTCCTGCAGATCTGTCTCGAAGCCCAGGTAGTGGTCTGTGGGGTCGGGCACAGCGTGCCTGCACATTCCGTGGCTCAATGTAAAACCAGCGTTGCAGCTGGAGCAGCGTGTTCGATTGTCTGCCGAGCAGGAGGCGCAGCGGGGCCCATCACCCACCACACAGGGGATCATGCCCTGACACAAAGCATATTCGTGCGGACAGAGGCAGCTCCGTGTCTCCTCTAAGTAAAAGCCCAGGCGCTTGCTCTCGCCACAGTACAAGATGGAGAGGACATGCTGCAGCCAGTAGCCAAGAGACCTGAAAGACGTATATTAAACAATCAACAAAACCGCAAAGTGGGATACAACAAAACGACAGAGGAGAACAAAACAAAACAAAGCAATAGGCAGCTAAAAACATAATTATATGTGGTCTGTGTGTGCAAATTGCAACGAGAAACACAATGGAGCCACTAAAAGTAACAAATGACTATGATCTAACAACAATAGATAGCAAATGAACAATTTGCATTTTGCAATAGTGATAATGGCTTTCAAACATTACCATGATGGCAGATCCGGCCTTTAAAAGCATAAATGGCAGGAACAGAGCCTGCTAATGCCTACTAATAGCTTCAAAGGTTGCAGTGGGTGGTGGAATAACACATTAGTCATTTGAGGTAGAATATACAAAGAGCAGCGAGAGAGACTTGGCTGAACCATTGAACTGCTGAATCATAATGTACTTCTAATGATTTTAGCAGGTACTTTTTTTTACCAGAAGGTAATCAAATTTTAACCTCTTCCATCCCAACATTCTCATATGTTGGCTAATTGGCTTTGAGGTCGAGGACCTTTCTCTAGTTTTCAGAAAGCCTCACAACTTTTGCATCTAATTTTGCATAATTACCTGGCAAACAAGCACAATAACAAATGTGTGATTTGGATGCTGAGGTCAATGAGAGCCTGTCAACAGTAGTTACCTCTCCCTCTGAAGGACTATTTTAGGCTGTGTGCGGCACCTCCTGCTGAGGCTGAAGAGCCTGTTGGCGCTTCGCCGGGCCTTGCTGAGGAGGAGGCTGGTGTGGCTCTCCAGCTGCCTATAGCGCTGCAGCAGAGCTACATCTGTCCTCCACAAGTTGTGAACGGCCGAGGAGTTCAGGGCAAAGTGTGTCGGCAGTCTGCCCACAAAAGCCTGGAACTCATCTGCTCAGAGGGACAAACTGATCAATTAACATGAACGGGCCAGGCCTGAAATCCAATTATGAGGCTCACAAAGCAAATGCGAACTAGCCAAATGGGATAGTAATTAATTTAGTTGTGTGTATTCTTTGGATGCCGATTTGTGAATGTCATCTAGAGAAGCAGAAAAACATGTTCTAATATGCCTTCTCGTTATGTGTGGTGAAAAACATAATTTGCACTGACCGTTACACTGATGAGCCAAAACATTATGACCACCTGCCTAATATGCTGTTGGTCCTCTGTGTGCTGCCAAAACAGCTCCGACCTGCCAGGGCATTGACGTTACAAGACCCGTGAAGGAGTCCTGTTGTATCTGGCACTAAGACATTAACAGCAGATCCTTTAAGTTTAAGAATTTGGAGGCCAGGGCAACACCTGAACTCTTCATCATGTTCCTTAAACCATTCCCAAATAATGTGTGCAGTGTGGTAGGGAGCATTATTGTGGTGAGATGCTACTGCCATCGGGGAAAAGCATTGCTTTTCTTTGTTGTAACTGGTCAGCAATAATATTCTGGAAGGTGGCATGTGTTAAATTGACATACACATTATTGCCCAGACCCAGGGTTTCCCAGCAGAACATTGCCCAGAGCACAGGTTCCCACACCTGGTCCTGGAGTCCCCCTCCACTTTACATTTTTCTGTTTTTCTAGACTAAAACACCTACCTCACCTTGTGAAGGGCTTGCTAATTAACCAGTTAGTTGGATGAGGTGTGTTGGGCAATGAGCAGGGCAGTGGGTAATCCAGGTCCAGGGCTGTCGGTAGCTACTCACCACTACCGAACAGGAGCACCCACAAGCTTAGCTGTTTCAGAGCTACTTTGTCAAGGCTGCTCAGGTCTTCACACCAGCCCATTTCTCCCGCTTCCAACATGGCGATTACAAGAACTGACTGTTCAGTTACCATCTAATATATTCCGGACCTTGACGTCCCCGTTGTTACGAGCTAATCAACGTTATTTGCTCCATCTGTGAGTGGTCACAAAGTTTTGGCTCACTGATGTAAATTTTAGCAGCAAACAAAACACCATTACTCCTGGTGCAATGCCTCATGCTAAGTGTTGCATCCCACATTGTCCTTGAAATAACACGAAACAACAGAGGTACTTAAAACAGCAAAGATATGGTAATATGAATTAATGCTTATCCAAAGGCTGCCCAACAAAGCAAAAAAAAATCCCTCAACGACTTTGGCACCTGACTCCTCAAACTCCTGGTTGGCCTGCCTCCAAGTCTCCCTGGTGTGCTCCAGGTAGCTCTCCTGGGCGCGGATGTCAGCGTGGGGGCAGTTGCACTGTGGATACTCCTTGCTGCACTGGCACCAGCAGTCGTTGTCCCGGCACACAAACTGGCCCTCAGCATTGCAGCCGATATAGCCCAGGGCAGCCTGGACAAATCGGCTCCTCAGATACTCTGGGAAAACAGCTTGGAGCCCTGTGAAATTAAAAGTTAAGCTAAATACTCTCAGGAAGACATGCTTCTGATTTTCCAAAACATAGGGCCTACATGGTCTTATACTTGTCGTTTATCATATAATTTAATTGAATTTGCATGGTAAAGAAAGGTGACTACTGTCAATAGTGGCGCAGCACACTTTTCCCGTTAATTAGGCAATATCAGCGGCATCAGGTTGCTTCTAAGGCATGGTACATGGCCATGACATTCGTTAAACACAGTGATGGTATGTTAAATAAGTTTCAGACCTTTCAAATGTGTTTCTACCTTGTAACTGGACCTTGTTCTCAGGGCTGTGAACCAACACAGAGCTCACAGAGTCAAGGTTGTCATAGTTACTGCAGCCAAGTGGGGCCAGTCCTGGTCTCAGTTACCTGCAGGAAGAACATAAAAGAATTATTCTGACTGAAACATGTTGGTAAAAGGCATCTAAAAGCTGTTTTAATTGCTTATTTTGAAGGCATTATATTTTGAAAAACAAAAACAGTCCATCATTAACCATTCCATGACAACCAAAACTCAAACATTTTCTCTTCTATGGCCTTGTACCGTAATCTTTAACAAGGAACAGCAGGGTATGTTTAAGAGAACTAGGTATTTAAAATAAAAACAGACCTCAAATTTCTTACAGATATGGAAAAAAAATAGTAATATCATAGCTGACACTTTTAATTATTTGTGGCTATGCATTCAAGAGTTTTGTAGAACTGCAATGTGATTATGCTTATTTATATGGCTTTTCAATGGAGAATAATTCAAAAGCAATGGAATGAAATGAGAGTACATTGCTGAGATTGTAAAATGATCCTTCAGATTACATTACTGATTATAGTTACGATGGGGTAATTGAATGTAACCTTTACAACCATGGTCTGCAGTAATTCTTTGAGCAAAAGAATGAGAATAGTCAGTGTCGTAGAGAACAACCACATGACTGGCTGACTATTCAGAGCTGAAAAGTGGAGGGGACCCTGTTATGATCAAATTAATTAGTCTTTTGTCATTTCTTTAATTAAAAATCCTTGCATTGCTGCACAGATTCATGCTGTTTTTTGTTCCCAGCTCTTGCATAATACTGAAGAATCCACCAGGGCAGAATTATGCAAAGTTAGACATCAGTTAGACACACATATACACAAGCCAAGGACAAGGAGCAGCATAAAGTGTCTGTGGGTATGAGAGAAAGAGAAGAAGGAAAAACAAGTTCATTACACCCACAGCACGCTTTCATGTTCCTGTTAATTTTGCTGGAAGGAGATTCATTAAAGCCACAAACTCTACAGCAGGGTTCAGGCAGGCACAGCACCACAACGCCAGCGAAGGCCAAAGCCCTTGAAGTTTGCTTAACAAAGAAACCCTTTTGTTTCACTCTGCGTGTAGATGCACATAAAAAAAAGTAAAAAAAACAAAGAAAAAAAAACAAACCAACGTAATGAAATATTTAATATTTAATATTATTCCACACACCCTTCTGTAAAGAAAATGCGTTCTTAGCTTTGTTATGGCTGATTAAGGCCCAATCCCATTTCACCCCTTGCCCCTGCCACTTAGCCCTTAGCCCTCTGTTTTGAGCGTTCATGTCTAGGGTTAGGGTGACCTGATTCTTATTAAGATAGAGGGGTAGGGTGAAGTGTTAGGGCTTTCTTCATAACAAGCATAAAAAAATCACTAATGACATGCTAATGTCTCGGTAGCTAGCTAGCTAATTTTCCCGTTCCACCTTAAATAGTCCAGCAGTATTGATGCCTGAAGTGCCAGAATGTAACTGCTGCACCATTTAAGGTGGAACGGGAAAATTCGAACAAGAAGCTGGTAAATAGCTGACTTCAGCTTCATATCACCAAAGAATTAACGGTGGGTGATAATAAATAATTGTCTTATAGCCCATCTTTGAAAGCATATGATGCTCCAAATGTGACTAAAGCGCAGCAGTGAGGTTGCTGAACTTTTTCCCTTCTCTGCTATCACTGAAGACGGGCCGGGTCGCTTACAGAGCACCGCTAGTAGCCTGTTAATGAAGCAATGTTAAATTTGAGGGTTGTCCCATTTCGTAGGGCAAGATTTCAATCACTACCCCTTGTAACTCAGTTCCAAGGTGTTAAGGTGACACTCGAAAACAAGGGGTAGGGGTAAAAAGAAGAAATGGGATTGGGCCTAAATATGACACCTGTAGGCTGACTCACACAAACTGTTTTTTCACACAGCGATGAATGTTATCTTTCCAAAATGAATGAACAGCTCCACGTCAAGAGGACTGTAGCTAGTTTATATTTTTGCTGCATCTGCTCCTAAAACACCTGAGCCAGTTAATTATGAACTGCTCAACCTGACTGAATGGACCAGATGTCTTGGGAGCTGAAACAGAAGTCCCAGGAGGACTGGGCTCAAGGCCACTTTCAAAGGCAAAAATTAACCTCTGCCAAAACATCAGGGCCCACATAAACATGTTTGTTTGCTATGAAGTCAAGAAACATACTCTGACTGTAAATTGGATTCCCCGCTCTGGCTAGTGATACCCTGTAGTCACAATCAGTTGGAGCGTTTCTTAGCAGCTTGCCAATTATTAAGTAAGAGGAGTAGAAGGTCCAGACAGCTGCAGTCCTTGCAGCCAGCTTTTAATCATGGAGCAAGCCCTAATTGTACTTTAGACGTGAGTTGAACAAACGGCTTAACAGTCTGACTGCTGTTACATTTTTCTCACTGTCCAGCGCGACCAATTAACAGGATTATAAGAAGGTATTTATGCAGTACATTCAACCATTGGGAGCTGCATTAAACCTCAATCAATTAACTGAACTATGTTTATCTGGTTAAACACAATCATGAGAGAATACCTGAAACTTATATGAAAAATACTGGATGCAAATCTGAGAACGTGTTTACATTTGGTAACAGACATCAATAGATGTCAAACGTAGCTGATACAACCAACAGGTGAATCTGACATATCGGTCATATAGGTTGATATATTGACAGTTTTTGAGTTATTAAGTGACATCAGAGGAAATAAACTGAACTTAACTGAAAATATGGACTGATATTTAAAGAATATCAGTGAATTAGACACAAATTTATTGACTGTAAGGTAGGATTATGGAATGCACTGAGCAGATATTAGGGCCCTATGATTTCTGCGATGTGGACCATATGGATGAAATCACAGTATTGATATATAAAATGCATTTCAGACATAAACACGAAAATGCATGAAATATACTTTATACCATCCAAATAATATGTTCACAGTTCTTTAAGCGCTATTTTCCTGTTGTTTTTCTGTGTATAATTGCTTGCACAGCAGCCAGTCCCAGTACGCCAGCAAGCTACTAATAAACAAAAGCATAGCCTTCTAGACATTGCAAGAAATTTGTAAACATTTGTGAGAAAGGAGTAAACATTTGGCTGTCCAGTTAACTAAGTAGGTTGTGTATATGTACTGTATATTACTATTAAACTGTATATTTAACTGGTAACATTAAAAAACGGGCAGGCCTTTCTTTTAGCCTTTGGTCAGTCTAGAGGAAGTATTGTTACTCTAATTAAGTGAATATTTTCCATATCAGTAATGCTGCAGTGCCAGCAACATGTAATATACTGTGTTTTTGTACTTAGTTACAGTTTGTTTGGGACCTTTTACTTCATGTACATGGCATAAGGTGACTGCAAAAATATGTGCTTTCATGAGATCCTACTAGTGTGGTTTAATGCCAGTTTCCTTTCTTTCAATGATGTGAAAAAAGGTCAAACAAAACTAAAGCATGATAAACTAAATTAAAATGAAATACTGTGACAGCGCTTCATTATGTTTGTCAGAGTATTATCAGAGGAAGCGTCGCTGCTTCCCAGTTTCAGTGTCCATTTCCCAAATGCTTTAGCCCAGTGTGTCCGCTAACATTATTCCTCCTAAAGAAAAGCTACGTGTTCGGCTCTGTCTCCTCATTATTCACCATCATTAGTGTAATGTTTCATTGGAGGAGCTTTCATCAACATTAACACATGAATGTTATAAGAGAGGAAGGTTTAGATTGTGTCTGCAATGTCTCAGATTTTTAACTCTTCGAAAAAAAAGACCCTCCTAAGTCAAAGCACTGTTTTCAGTGTAGATAAATGTAATGTCATTATGCTAGTTATAGTCAACTATACTGCCTATTACTGCACAAAACAATAGAAACAGACAGGTAAAACAGAAGACACTCCTGAGGTTGTCTTAAAGTTAGGAAAGAATTTAGGAAATTTTGTCTGGTTAGGATGTTTCTGTAATACTGTTTTCTTATCTGGAGTTAATGAGAAGATTATGAACTCACAAACTGTTGTTCTGTAATAGCTTCTGTCCTAAATTCAGTCCTAACTGAAGTCGTCATGGCGACTAAGCAGATAAGATTTCAGACTTAAGCTGTTTCTGTAATACAGCCTTTGGAATACAAACTCATTTCAAAAGGTATTCCAAACAGTAAAGTGCATTAGACAACTATTTTGGCTATTTTCACACATTTTCAAATGTATTTGATTAATATACTTACATACATTTATTTTTGTATCTAGGCATAATATTTAACTCATACATCTGAAAATAAATGCATTTTAAAATGTATTTGGTTAATAAGGCAATATATTCGGAAATACATTTTAGCGTATTTCAGCATGGACTGCAGTGTATTTGAAATGTATTTTAAATATATAAACATATAGGTCCACATATTTTTTTCCATATGGGATGTATTTCAAGAAAACTCAAAATGGAAAAAAAAAATAAAACGGATATCCTAAGATATGGGAGGAAGTGGAAATGAATGAAAGACGCCTCTGCTCTACCTCAGAAGGTAGTGTGGGATTTGTTTAACACAGATACACATTTCAAAATGTTTTTTTTTTGCAAACTATTTGAAATGTTGGTGTTTTCATTAGTCAAGGGGTCTTTTCAGGCACAGAAGTCAACAGTGTTACTGAATGTGTTCAAACACATATCCTGCTCTGCAGAGAAGCGTTTTGACTGTCTGTAAACTGTTCAGAGTGCAGTGGTGTTACTGTGATGAAAAAAACACCCAGGTGGAAACTATCATAAGCTCTAAGAAAAATCCTGCATGCACTACAACGGTATAAGCTGAAACTGAGCATACTGTATCCTGCATGCTTTTCATATAGCTACATCAATGCAAGCCATCATCAAAATACTCTCACTTCAGTCCACATTGGTGTTTCGTTCAGTATTCTCAAGTGTCATTTAATATTCTAACATTCCAACATGTCCTCTAGTTCTAATCTATATTCCCATGTTTTTTTAATATTCCATCACTGTTCAGAATGTCATTTTCTTTATCTGCAGGCTAAGATGAAAATGATCACATCAGAAGCCATCTGACATAAAGCATATAAGGGCCCATTTTTCTCTAGAGATATGTGATTGCTCAAGTTTGGTACATTTGTTAGCCTGAACCTGTTCGTGCTAAATCATGCTGTCCAAACTGTTCTAAGTGTCCAACCCACCACCCTGATCAGTCCACTGTTACCAGTACCATCTGTGGCTCTAATAAAGACCCAACTAAAATGAATGAGGCCCAAAGCACAGGAGCTCCTGGATCATAATTAAACTCCTCGTTTTTACTCTCCACTGCACTTCCATTCCCCAGTCTCCTGCTCATCCATAAATGTAACACTGAAGGATCGCCTGCCTATAGCCACATTTAGCATTCCTTGAAACCGACTCGAGTATCGTTCCTGTTTTCGAGGCCCTACACTTTGCTCACAGTAGATATGGCTAATAATGACTGGAATTATTTGCTGAGGAGAGGAATATGAATAGATGAGCCAGGCTCATCCATCATTGTGATACATGCCTCGGCAGAAGCCGCTACAGCCGCTTTGTCCTCATTAACAGCAGCTTAGTTCAAAATCATCTCAGTAGTGGAAGAAGAAATACCACAACTCTTTACTTGAGCCAAACATGCCTTGCCTGTAAATTACTCAAGGGAATGTCTACCTAGAGTTTGCCTGGGTGGCAGTTTGCTTTTGAAATATGCACCTTGTAAATATGCATCATGACTAAAAGTAAATGTCCTTATGTAATTTTTCTAAACCCAGTTTATCCCTTTTCAGTGTATTCCCCCTGAAACTTATAAACGATAAGCTTTCAGAGAACTCATTTGTTATGTAGGCCACCTTTTTACCATGTACAGCTTCACTTCATGCACAACCAAACCATTCATCTCTTTTATCAGTAATCTTTCAAAATAACACAAAATGCTACCGAAGTTTCGGAACCTGACTACTGATGTTGGATGTGTAGCATGACAGATTGTCCACTGCAACCGACAGCTCCACTAGACACATTCATTAATCAACTACAGCACTACATGTATCCAAACTTTTCATACCCAGCCTAGGTTACTTTATTCAAAAAAGACTATAGGCACTCAAGAACATGTAGTGAAATATATGCACATACACTGATCAGGCATAACATTATGACCACCTCCTTGTTGTCCATTTAATCAGCTCCACTTACTAGATAGGTGCACTTTGTAGTTCTACAATTACAGACTGTAGTCCATCTGTTTCTCTGCATACTTTGTTAGTCTTCTTTTACCCTCTTCTTCAAGGGGTCAGGACCCCCATAGACCCTCACAAAGCAGTACTATTTGGGTGGTGGATCATTCTCAGCACTGCAGTAACACTGACGTGGTGGTGGTGTGTTAGTGTGTGTTGTGCTGGTATGAGTGGATCAGACACAGCAGTGCTGCGAGAGTTAATCACTGTGTCCACTCACTGTCCACTCTATTAGACACTCCCACCTTGTCAGTCCACCTTGTAGATGTAAAGTCAGAGACAATAGCTCATCTGCTGCTGCACAGTTTGTATTGGTCATCCTCTAGTCCTTCATCAGTGGTCACAGGACACTGTTGGCTGGACTATTCTCAGTCCAGCAGTGACACAGTGTTTAAAAACTCCAGCAGCACTGCTGTGTCTGATCCACTCGTAAGCGCAACACACACTAACACACCACCACCACATTAGTGTTACTGCAGTGCTGAGAATGATCCACCACCCAAATAGTATCTGCTCTGTGAGGGTCTATGGGGGTCCTGACCACTGAAGAACAGGGTAAAAGGGGGCTTACAAAGTATGCAGAGAAACAGACGGACTACAGTCTGTAACTGTAGAACTACAAAGTGCATCTATATAGTAAGTGGAGCTGGTAAAATGGACAATGAGCGTAGAAACAAGCAGGTGGTCATATTCTTATGCCTGATTGGTGTATTTGTCCTTCTTATATAGTAGGATATTTACATTGAGACTAATCTACAGCACATTCAAATTCTCTTCTGACACAGCGTGTACCAAAAAACTGCCTAACGAAGGACAGATTGTTCATAATTATGCATATGTTTCAAATTTACCTTAAAATATCATTAACTGTATGCAAAAAAGAGCACGTTTGACTCTGACATTACAGAATGCATCACACCTGGAGGCACAAATCCAACTGAAGCTACTGCATCTCCCGACTCTCCTCGTTTTGTTCAGGCAGGGCTGTACCTTAATGGCTGCGGAGGCGATCTGGAGGTGGTGGAGCTTCCGCAGTGTGCTGTCTCTGTCGATAAAGTAGGAGGCAGCAAGCTGATGGAGGGCCTCTAGGGTCAGCGCTGAGGCCGTGCTGTTGGAGGCTCCCCCGCTTGGCTGGCCCCTGCTCAGTTTCCTCTTATCCACGAAAATGGTCAAGGACTCCTCCCCTGCCCAAGAGCAAAACGACAACCATTAGCCCACGCAGTGCTCACCAATCAGCTCCTAATAAGCAGCAGTCTGAGCTCTCTATATTCTCACCCAGCAGGAATCCACAGAACCCTACGGCCCGCTCTGGACCTCAGTGGGATCATCTCTCATTTTACGGATGATACAGATGGGGGAGTATCATTCATCTCTAAATGGGTGAGAGAGAACCAAAGCCAATTGACTCTGCTGGAGCGTATATATTTGGGGGAAAATGCGTTTTGGAGAAAAATGAGTCCAGTCAGGGGGTGTTCTATGGTGAATTAGGTAGAGCTCTAAATGATCTCACAGTGCAGCCTGAATGAAGGCAAGAGAAGGTGCGCTTAGTGACTGAGATATTGATCCTGGGATCATCTCGGTGAGTATTGTAATTACTCTCTGAGGGAAACCACTGTTGGCTACTTACTCCTTCTACAATTAGAGTACTATAAAAGCCAGAAGACCATTATTTCACACAGGCAATGGCAGGTGGGGCAACCAACATCAACACCAAGTTCGCTTTAGTTTTTTATGGGGTAATCTCAGGCCAGCAGCGACCACTGGTATCTAGGCATTCTGAACTTTAAGTGCAGTTCAAAACAGCTAGAGCACATTCATGAGTAATGATCCAGCTTATTAGAACTTGACATCCACTGTGTGTTTATTTCGTAAATTAAGGGGCTATGAGGTAGTGCATTACTCATAAAAGTATGATATTTCTTTTTCAAACAATACACTTATTTTTGGTGTGACTTTATTCTTCTGTACTTCAAATAGATTGACATTGCAAAAGTCTTTGGAAAATAATTCACACAAGGTACTTGAATGTGATGGGAGTAAAAGTAAAAACCCAAAATGGCCGAGTTATTTTACAGTACCAATTTGTGCATAATATGTTTGTTTGTTCTCAAGAAGAAAACATGTTTCTTCAATTTAATCATGATCATAATTTTAAAAGCACAGAGATACTAGTTACATTAAAACATCACCCTATGTAAGATCTAACCCCATGCAAATGTAGTGCTTAAGACCGCTAAGAAATACAACATCTCCATCCTGATGACATGCACCTAGCATAATCGTGGCTATTACTGTTAGAGAGCATTACTGCTATCACATCTATGTGGTGATTAACAGTGACTGAGGAAGATAACAGAATGGCAGGGCTTAGTGAAGATACATGCTCAAATGACATGTGCTCTTACCTCCCAAAGTGGCTGAGAGCAAAAAGTGTGTCCCGTACTTCTTTATGATGCTGTCCGTTATCCTCTGCAGGCTCGGCCGTCTTCCCAGCTGCCTGATGTTGTGGATGAAGTCTGGGTCAAAAGGCACGGCGACACCACTGTCCTCGTGCCTCTCCACGGCCAGGTTATTCACTTTCCATCGGCCGAACTCCCTGTGGGGGGCACAACCTTTTAAAATGGAAGGCAATGCAGTACAAAACCAGGCCATGAAAGCAATGAACACAACCCACCAGGTCTTCCTACTCGCAATAATAATCACGTGTTTCATGGCCTGCACTATGTCAGCCAAGTCTGGCTCTCCTCCAGCCCCCCACCCTTATGTTAGCTCTGGTTCTCTTCCAAACTTCTCCTCTGCACTTGGCCAATACAGACATGGACAGTAGGTGGTATTTCATTGTGCCGAGACTTAAAGAGCCTCAGCGGGGAGCCAGGTGCTAGATCCATCCAAGCATACTGTAGTATTTCATGAAGCACTCAAAACATAATCCGCTCAGAATCTCCTTTACCTCTGTTCAGTTCCACGGCTTATTGTTGTGACCTAAAATGTGCTAAAACCTCAATATCTTCCATAGGGTGGTGGCAGGGGTCGACACTGCGTATTGGCTGGTGCCCCTGGTCACATTATTTTATATTTTGACCACTAAAAATGTGAAAAAAAAAAAAAGATTTAATTGCAGCTTTTCCCTTTTTAACAAAAAACTAGACCAGTTGAATTTTCAAACATGCACAAATATCCAAAATTAATAACAAAACAACTGCTTTTCACTCGGGCGGCACGGTGGCGCAGTGGGTAGCGCTGTCGCCTCACAGCAAGAATGGCCTGGGTTCGATTCCCGGCCGGGCGACCAGGGTCATTTCTGTGTGGAGTTTGCATGTTCTCCCCGTGTCTGCGTGGGTTTTCTCCGGGTACTCCGGTTTCCTCCCACAGTCCAAAGACATGCAATCAGGCCGATTGGACATGCTAAAATTGCCCCTAGGTGTGAGTGTGTGTATGAATGTGTATGTCTGTCTGTCTGCCCTACGATGGACTGGCGACCTGTCCAGGGTGTATCCTGCCTTCTGCCCAATGACAGCTGGGATAGGCTCCAGCACCCCACCGCGACCCAGAAGGATAAGCGGTTTAGATGATGTATGTATGTATGTATGCTTTTCACTCTCCTAAACAAAATCCAGAGCCTGTTTGATCAGACGCAGAATTCGCTGCAGCAAATCAGATTCTGTTGAAATCTGCAAACTGTTACATTAACGCTACCACATCAATAGTTAATGTGACGGCAACTGACATCTTCCTTTCATTTCTTCATAGTTGGTGTGACGGCTGGGTTATTAAAATATGGCTTTACTGCCAGTGGCAATGCTGACAATAAAAAAGAACTGGGTAACAATGATGACAATAGAAAAAAAAAGAGAAAGTTCAAAGATGAGTGGGAGAAAAAAAAATGTGTGACTGGAGATTGATTTTGAGAAGGATGTGATCTTTTGTTGAGCATGTCGTCAGTTTCCATAACAGGCAGACACCACAAGCTGATTCTCTACCAGGGGTAACTCTTGTAGAAAACACAATATTCAAAAGCACAGACCCACATTTTTCAACATGAGCTCTGTTATACTGTAATTATCTTAAGCAATCCCAATGATAAGCCATCTGGACAGAACTGAATTTAAAAAATCAGCCTGGTGACTATACACTGGGGCTGCATGATAAGTTGTATTTTTATTGTTACTGCGATATGACTTTAAGCGATAAACACATTGTTAAAAAATGTGATGACAGAACAGATTAAAAATCTGATGCTCGCAGCGCCAGAGAGACGTCATTATATTGCCGGTACATACTGTGAGGAGCCTAATGGGTGTTTCCCTGCACTAGGACTGAAGCCTGCTCTCCCATATGGTGGGCGAGTAACTTAACCATTTGGCTAAACAGCCAAATACAAAGTAGACACACAGCACAGCTCAAAACGACGCCAACCTACAAGCTTGTAAAAAATGCATCAAGGATCATTAGGATTGTTCTCACAATCAGTATTGTGTTTTAAGTGTGCAAGGCAGTAGTGGCTGAAACAAACATATATAATACTTAAAAAAATATAGTAAATAAAAACAAAAATGAATATATTTACTCATTCTAGTGAGGCGATATAAACAAAAATATATATTTATTTGTTTTTGTAGCCTTTATGGGAAAAGCTGTTGAGGTAATGCTGACTGTTTCTCAGCCTTTCAGTGCACAGAAAATGTGCTTGCGGTTCTGATGTAAGCAGCTATTATTATTATTATTATTTTTTTTTAATTTTGCGCAATAGTGACTGCAGCTTTTGTAATTTTGCATTTTGCCATTTGCTTTAAGGAGAGGTTAGTTCGATCTCTGTTTATGCATCCAAAAAAATGTCATCATACATTACTTTAATCATAATTTATTGATTATCGCCAATGCGATATCGAACAGCTTTATCAAACACTGGATTTTATATCCATATCATATAGCCCTCCTAAACACTGTCAAAAAAGGGTACTGTCCAAGAAAGTTTGGGTCCAACATGGTCCTTAAGGTCCTACTGAGTAATCAGGGGAAAGGTTCATATTTGTACCTTTTCACCACCACTAAAATCAAATTAAAAGACTGAGATCAAGAAAGGGTGTATGGCATCAATGCAACTTAAACAGATAACTGTAACAGAATTTGGTACAATTATGTTGTTCAACTAAATGCACAGAAGATGTGCCCTCAATGGTACAGTTTTTTCTGAGATGGTACAATGAAAAATGGAGTGGAAGTAGCAAAAAGCAACACCCGACTGATTTTTGGTACTGAAACAACATATATATGATAAATGTGATTCTATGATTCTGGCCACAACTTCTTAATTTGATTCACTGGGTTTGTGGCCCAAGTGGCCAGTGCTAATTTGTTTTGTCTGTTTACCCCTGAGTGGAGGACACTATGACAATTATCTCTTAGACATAGATAATTTGAACTCACCTAACATGAATAACTGCTCTCTCTGTCTCACACACACACACACACACACACACACACATACACACACACAAATATTGCAAGAATGTTAATGTAAACATTTCTTTATTATGCAAAAATACTCTATTTTAGTCAAGACATTTATCTTTCTTGCTTTGCAAAAAAAGGCACTCGCGCAACACTGAGACGAGAGAAAGCACAGCTAGTCGTCTGTTGCTGTTTTTGAAGCAGGTCTGACAGTATTTGCTACTAGCCCTGAGGCCAGAGCTCAAACAAACCCAAAACAAAGCATTCGATCTAAAGTTCACTAAAAACACTCAGGCGAAATACGTGATACGCAAATATCTCATTCTCCTCCATCTCTGTTGAGGTAGTATCTGTGTACCAATCATACGCTTTTTAAAATTCCACATACCAAACATGGTGTGTTTTTTCTTGCACATAACATAGTCTACAAATCTATGTTTAACCATGTTTAATTAACCCACATGCTGTTCTTCTGAGTTCAGTGACAGATTTTTATTCCCAGTGAATTCCAACGTAGCTGAATAATTTGGACCAAATGCTTGGCTTTGAAATATGATGATGTCAAGTTAACACACTTTAATGCTTGGGGTGTGACGATTCACAGAATTCATAATTTGATACGAAATGGTTATGTCTCGATTCAATACATACATTTTTTGTTTTTAGTTTTTTAGAGCTGTCAGCATGATAAAAGTATAATAATAACAAACTAATTACAGTAGTTATAATAATCTGCTAGCCTTGAGGTAATACACACTTAAGTTGCAATATAAGCAGTATTAAAATGAGTATTTTATATGTTAAAGTCTATTGAATACAGTGAAAAAGAATTGCACAATTAATTTAAGTTAGTATAATTCAACAAATTTACAGCTTAGAAGGGAAGACTGATTGAGGGAGGGGAGAGAACTCTTGGGCTGGAGTTCTAGGCAGGTTCTGCTTGGAGCTAGAAGGCCACCCTCCTCCTCTTTTTAACTGTGGTAGGACTTATAGGAGAACAGGGAGGAGATGAGGTGGTGCTGTGGATTGCGAAAACTTCATCACAGAAAACGGAAGGTAGGGATGTGAATTTCAGGATATAATGTGACTCTTAACACACTAGCAGAAAATGAACACTGCTGAATGCTGAGTTAATTTAGCACTGGTGATTTTGCTTTGTATGTGGGCCACAGGTATATACTACATATCAAGCAAAGCAGGATCAGGACTTGAGTCAATAGGCCCTACAGTAGGATAGGCATATTAATATTTAATTTCAGCCAATTCTTTCCTCTCACTACTACAATGCAGCCCCTTACTGAATCAACACAGACGAAAGGTTCAGGACTCTGGCTGAAGAAATCTTCCTCTGGAGATCAGAAAGAGCGCTGGCCCCTGCTCAGTGGCTTCGGTCAACACAAACCTCTGGGCTCAGGGGAGCCAGGAGAATCACTCGTATGAAGAAATCAAATCCTGGCAGGGAGCAATCATCGACTGCATGAAGGGTGTCATTACCGCCAATCACCCCAACGAGAGAGGCTCTGAGTGGGTGTGGAGAGGTCTGATGAGCACTATAGCAGTGAGCTAACCAGTGATCACCATAGAGAGGCCAGAGGGGTAAAAGGGTGCTCGGCTCAAGAACTGCCCAAGAGCCTCCCGTGCAGTCCTGAAGCCGTCACGTAATCAAAAGCCAAAAGGCACAGTGTAATCAGGAGCAGAGAGCAGAGGAGCAAATGAAGATGAGGTCAAGTGGAAACTGAAGCCAGTGCTCTAATCAGAGGAGGCTCTACTACAAGGGTGGGTGGTACATGGGTGAAAGAGTCTTTTGTTTTTTGTCCACTAAAATTTCTCCTCGCATTGCGGAAAGAGAGCCATAGGTTTTAAAGATTCTGCCATTAATCTTTTTTCAAGAATCATCACAAATAAATGGTCCTAAAAGACCATTAAAAACCACTAAACCTAAAAGAAATTAAACAATTATGGGGAGGGGCATCTTTACTGGACAGGTTTGAACATTCTGAATATATGAGATCAACAGTATAATCCCAACAGCAAGCTACTGCATTCAGCTATAGATATGTGCATGCTATGCCCATGCATATGAATCTATGTACCCATTAGGGAAAGGTGTGTGAGGGAGAGGGTCTGTAGTGGTCTGAAGGGCACTGTAAACGTCTGAGGAAAAAGGGTATGAGAGGGAAAATTCAGTGAGGAAGAAGTCAACTGTATTCTCTTGCCCTCCTTTTATACATTACATTAGAAAATAGTCTATTTTGGATGACCGGGTCAGACTGGTAAAAGTAAAGTCGTATGCCATTGGGGAAATCTTTGGAGGATGGTTTTACAGCAGCCTACTTGAAAAATACATAAAGATTAGCATGTAGTATTGTGTCTGATCCATTGCATGGGCCATATGGTGAATACAACATTTTACCTTAGAATACTGAAGTCAAAACGTAATAGATTTAGAAACTCTTTCTATCTTCTATTCAGTTGTGATACTGAATTACAGAGCAGACTGTCTAGATAAGTACATTTGCAGAAACATTACTGCGCCGTATTAGGTGCAGTGTGGAATCTGGTGATGGCGTAAAGTGCATTGGTGTGTTGTGTGATTGTCCGACTGTGAAAGACCCCCCACGCCCCCCAATGGAGCCACTATGATGCCAGACAAATGTCAGAGAAATCAAACAATAAAGTGCATCGTATCATATGGTAAAGCTCAGCATCTCAACGAGAAATGTCCCCATACCTGCTCTCATCATGAGCACAATTAAAAAGCATGTACTGACACCCTCTTTAAAAACATGTTCTTCTGTGGTTCTTTAGTAATGACAATGGTTCTATATAGAACTATGAACACAATCATCTGCATGCTTAAATGATTCTTTATATGGGGAACTGATTCATCAGATTAATGCAAAATGTGCTGTATACGGCTCCTTTTTCTAAACGGTTCTATATAGCACTGAAATGGTTTTTCTACTGTGAAAAGCTTGATATTGTAACAAAAGCAGAACCCTTTTTGATGCTATGTAGGGCTATTTCCTAAAATATACAACACAATTTCACCATGCAAGAAACCATATGGTTCTTTGAGTGTTCATGGTTCTCTATAGATCCACTTTATTAAAGAACCCCCGAAGAATCGTCTTTTTTGCATAGTGTGACTAAATAGTGCATCAAAAACAGAGGACTGATGAAAAGAGCTGGAAAAGTTGTACGGAGATAAAACATCACACGCAAAGCCGAGTTAGCTTACCTGTAAATCTTGTATCTGGTGGTGAAGCCGTGCTGGTGGCGCTCGGCGAACTCGGTGAAGTCTCTGGCGCGGTGGAAGGGCCCCTTGTCGGCCAGCAGCCAGCCGCGGGGCTCCGCCGCGAGCACGGCCGCCAGGAGGGAGATGACGGCGGCGCCCCGCCATAGGGACATGGGGCCAGGCGGCGGTCTAGGACCGGCGGCGCTCCGCTCCGGCATGCTTCAGCCATGCAGCCCTCATTCCCTCCCGCTGCGACTGAAAGTGGTCTTGGAACTAGAACCGTCAGCAGGCAACTCTCCGGGAACGAAGAGAAGAAAGTCTGGACTTATTTCTCCACTCAGAGAACACAAACGTCCATCCCAGCTAAAAGTCTGTCACGCTCTTCAGAACACACTGGCTCTGAAAGGCGGTGGCGTCGAGTTAACGTACTTAGCTGGCTAAACACAGTAAAAAACGACGATTAATTCGAGTTAACGCTATTCAGTAAATTTATAGTCACTAATATAATTACCGAGAGTTAAAATAACTTCACATAATTAAGCCCTGGCGACATATTCCAAGCTTTTGAGAGTGTAAATTACCTCTTCAGGTTAATGTTTGTCGCGTCAGGGTGAAAAGCGACCGTTAAAGCTGTTAAAGTTAGTCCGCTATCAGCGCAGCTTCTTCCCTCAAAATATCACAAGTTTGCCGGACCAGAGGAATCCAGCTGGCCGAGACGACGCGGGGAAACAGAAGAAGTGCTTAAATTGAAGATTTAAGCCATTTGAAAGCAAAAATATCCCTTAAATGCTCCGTTTTCTGTCATCTTCATCTTTCTGTGTGGAGGCACTTCAGGGATTAACTCTGTGAACGAAGTGCGCGCGAGTTTCTGTCAGCGAAGCGTTCGCGGGTAACAGTATGATGTAAAGACCCCTCACTCCTACTCTGTGATTGGCCAGTGCTGTCCCGCCTCCTGTGCTTGGATTGGCTAAAGCTTCATACTTGGCTAGTTGTCAGGCGGGCCGGCCAATCCTTGCGAAGTAGGGCTGGGTTTTCCCCCCGAATACGGGTGGGAAAAAAAGGATGGTATTGTAAACTGCGATTAATTTGGGCACTGATTATTTTATTTTGGCTAAATAAATGACTTTGCACTGTAATTTATTAGCAGGATATATTTGGTAATAAGCTGTTTGATATATGCATGCTTTGTTTCTACATTCTTTGTCCATTCTATCTATTCTAAGTCCACTTACCGTATACACTATGTTGCCAAAAAGTATGTGGACACTGACAATCATGCCTAGATGAGCTTGCAGGACATCCCATTATAAAATCGTGGGCATTAATATGGAGTTGGCAACTTCTATGCAGCTATAACAGCCTCCACTCTTCTGGGAAGGCCTTCCACAAGATTTTGGAGTGTGTCTGTAGGAATTTGTGCCCATTCAGTCAAAAGAGCCTTTGTGAAATCAGGCGCTAGAAGGCCTGGCTCGCAATTGACGTTCCAATTCATCCCGAAGGTGATCAGTGGAGTTGAGGTCAGGGTTCTGTGCAGGCCACTAGAGTTCCTCCACACCAAACTTGTCAAACAATGTCTTTATGGACCTCGCTTTGTGCAAAGGGGTACGTTCATGCTGGAACAGGTAAGAGCCTTCCGCAGACTGCTGCCTTAAAGTTGGACACAATACAGCCAAGACCATTATCCCTCCTCCACCAAACTTTACTGTTGGCAATATACATTCCGGTAGCATTCTCCTGGCATCCACCAAACCCAGATTCATCCATCAGACTTCCAGAGATTTAAGTGTGATTCATCACTCCAGAGAACATGTTTCCACTGCTCCAGAGTCTGGTGTACCACACCTCTCCTACAGGCGCTTGGTGTTGCGCTTAGGCTTGTGTGCTCGGCCATGGAAACCTACTTCATGAAGCTCCTGACACAGAGTTCTTGTGCTGATGTTGCTTCCAGAGGCAGTTTGGAACTCTACTGATGCAACACAGAATAGGTGTTTTTTTCTATGCACTACATGCTTCAGCACTTCATGGTCATGATCTTAGTTTGTGTGGTCTGCCGCTTCAGGTATGAGGACTTACAGTTGACTAGGGCAGATCTAGCAGGGTAGAAATTTCTTGAACTGACATGTGGCAAAGGTGGCATCTTATGACTGCTGTATTTAAAGTCACTGAGCTCTTTATTATAACCCATTCTACTGCCAGTATTGTCTATGGAGATTGCATAGCTATGTGCTTGATTTTATACTCCTGTTAGTAATGAATGAGACTGAAACACCCGAACTCAATAATTAGGAAAGGCGTCCACATACTTTAGGCCATATTGATGCATTTTGTGCACAAGTCCATCTGTTTCCATGCCATTCATCAATGGTTAGGGCCTCCACAGGACCACCTCTGAGCAAGTAACTGGGTGAATGAAATGTAGAAATGTGGTTATGTTTTGTTTTATCTTAACAGGTTCATTTGAATAACTTCAGCTGGATACAATGGCATCCAGTGAATATGCTTCTATTGGATGTTGCAATATCCTGTTCAGCATGAACCATATTTTGTGTGGCTAGAAGAGGGCTTTGGAATACAAATGAACAGTTCTGTAACCAGCATTGCCATTAAAGAAGTCATCCAGCGTTTCCATCCCTTTTTTGCCTGCATTTTGGTTCATGCAAAATGCTCCTGTACAACTGCAAGCATACAAACAGTTTAATGACATCATGCCCTTGGGTTATTGTGTGAATTATTAATGAGTATTTTCATTCGCCAACATGTTTTAGCATAATAATAACAGCTGGATAGCTGTTATTCTGCCTGAGTTACCTGTGTTCCTCCACCTGAGATTGAGGAAAGTGGCAAGTGATGACCTACAGAAACACGACTGTACCCACAACATTCCAACAACAAGATTGGAGCAGCTCTTCCCAGGCAAGTTAATTAGTGAGTAAGTCGGCTGATTGGTTGGTTGGTTGGTAGGTTGTCTAGGTCAGGGGTCAGCAACCCAAATATTACGCAGAGCCATTTTGTCTTTTCAACAAAAATCTAAATGAAAACAGACTTACTTTGCTCTGCTTTGAGCTTTAGCTCAGCTATAGCTGGTTTTCTCACATCTCCAGCAGGAAACTTTTGCAAAAAAGTAGAACAGTTTTATGTAAAATGTCTCTCAACGTTCAATTTTTTTTACGAGGCTGAAGTCAGTTTCTCTTTCGCCCAATTCTTGTTCGAATTTTCCCATTCATGAATGAGAAATTTCAGCTTCACAACCTTTTGGTGTTTGACAGTTTCTCACTGCAGATTAAAATACAAACGCAAATAAGTCCATTAGTCTCCAAATTATCCATGTTTGTCTTAAATCTTTCTCTTTGCCTTTTCATTAGCTACTAGTTAGGCGGGATATTTGTCTGGGTTGCTTAACGACCAGCAGTCTGCGCACTAATCTTCAGGGTCAAAGGGTGATTTAGTAGTTCTTCACTAACTCCAGCGTTTAAGACCATTTATTGTTAAAACTGTGTGAGAACGATCTAATCTGACCTGTTAGATCTGATCTATCTAATCTGTCAGAAAATCTAATTCTGCTGTGGAGCCACAAAAGGGCAGTAAAGGAGCTGCATGTTGGCGACCCCTGATCTAGGTAGATAGGTATCAAAAAGTATCTGGACATTTGTGCCATACTTAAGAATGTATTAAGTTCAATGTGTTGGGAAATAAAATGCCAAACCAAGAGGCATTTATTTTAAACAGAACATTCCAAGAGTAGTATTTTCTTTTTTTGTTTGTTTTAGATCATTACTTTACTGCAGTCGGGTTGGAATTCTTTTCAGGCTTTCTCCACCCATGAGTCGGCCAGTTTGATGTTTTTTCTCTGAAACAAACATGACTTTGTTAACCTTTCTGATGAAAAAACCTAGACAACTTCATTCAAAATTTACTAGTAGTTACAGTGTCCAAATACTTTTTGGGGCCTAGGTAGATAGGTGGGCAGGTAGCTGGATTGGTGGATAGGTGGGTGCTTAGGCAGGCGGGTACACACTGTCAGAAAAAAGGTTCTGTGCAGGTAAATTTTTTGTTCATCAAGTACAAACAATGTGAATGTATGCACTTAAAGAAGATGGCTCTTCAATGGTTCTTTAATAAAAGCCCTGGCTTTAAATAGAACCATTTCAGCTTAAACGGTTCTTTGCATGGTGAAATGGTTCTTCAAATTGATGGAGAATGTGTTATACATGGTTCCATATAGAACCAAAATGGGTTCTTCTACTGTTATAAATTTGACATTGTCACGATAGCAGAACCCTATTTGGTGCTACATAGAACCATTTTGAAAACAACACATTTTTCATTAACATGAAGAGCCACTTCACCATGCAAAGAACCATTTAAGCATGAAATGGTTCTATATAGAACTCATGGTTCTAAATATAGCTACTGCCTTTACTAAAGTACCTTTGAAGAACCATCTTTTCTAAGTGTGTACCCTTGAAAGTACAGCTAACTGTCTTTTTATCAAGGGAAAGGCGCATATTTTTGTAAAAACAGAACTAGAAAATAAAAATGCAGAAGATAAGACAGGGTGCGTGGAGTCGAATATGATTACTGTCAATACGACCTAAAATGCATTTAATTTCAATAGATTATGGTCTAATCATGTTCCCTAACTGAAAGTAGTGAAGACGTACCCTTGACTGTACACTTCTAGGCAAATAAAGGGGCCAAAATCAAAATATAATGGCTTTTATTGATGGTTTTGGGCTGATCAGAGCCCAGATTTAAACACTATAGAGAATATTTGGTTTCATATTAAACAAAAAGCCCTGCGATGGACTGGCGACCTGTCCAGGGTGTATTCTGCCTTCCGCCCAATGACCGCTGGGATAGGCTCCAGCACCCCACTGAGACCCAGAAGGATAAACGGTTTAGATGATGTATGTATGTATGTATTAAACACAAACTGGCTTGGCATTATTTTTAACTGTATGAAGCCGTCAATGCTGAGTAGCAAAATACTGAGTCTACTTTCTGTAACATGTTGTCTGCAAGTTTATCAACTTTTAAAGGAATTAATGGGAAAAATATCCCATAATAAGCTACTTTATCTATTTGTTTAATGATTTGTTGTTGAGACAATTAAAAGCTTAATGTTTTAATGTAAAAGCTTAGTCCATTTTTTGGCCCAGGGGTGTAGATGGGAGGGTAGGTAGCTTTTAGGGATGGGTATGAGGAAGGGTAGATAGGT